TTCTATGAGGTATCAGATATCATCAGGTTATTTTTATTGTTAAATAATCCTTTGTATGGATTTACCACATTTTTCAATGCATTCCCCATTGATGAACATGTATCATATCCACATTTTGGGTACTACGAACAATGGTCCTATAAACATCAATGTAAAACACTTTATGTGGGCATAGTTTTTCATTCCTATTTTGGTGTACACCTAGAATTTAAATTGCTGGGTTTATGTTGAACTCTTAGAAAAATGGAATGTTTCACAAAATGTCTGCATCATTTTACATTCCCAATAGCAATAGATGAGGTTTCCCATTTTTCAATATGCTCATCAACATTTGTTTTGCCTACTTTATTTATTATAACCATCATAGTGGGTATAAAGTGGTTGCTTATTGTAGCATTGGTTTGCATTTACCTATTGACAAATAATATTGAGTATCTTCCTGTGTCTTTACTAATCACCTGTATATCTTCATTGATAAAATATCCATTCATATCTTTGTTCGTTTTTGACAATGCAGTTTGATTTTACTGTTATGTTAGAGATTTTTATTAGCTATGTTTTATAAATATTTTTCACCAAGTTTATTTTCCTGTTTGCTTTTCATTTCACCTTCTTAATTAGGCTTTCTCTGATCATGATGGAACTAGCCATTTAGGACTGAACAACATATGCTTTGTCAATATGAAATATGGATAAAATATTTTCATCTAATATGATAGATCTTATTTAATTAATTTAATGGCTTTCTCTACTATAAAGTTGATGAAAAACAATTTTGTCTGTTTTCATTGCTTATAAACTTTCTTTCTAGTCTGTCAATATAATTATTTGTAATTTGAATAAAAATATATTTTAAAAATCATATAAAATAAAAATACTTAAGATAACATCATTCCCTTTTTTGTTCTGAAATTCTAGCTGTTAAGTATTATAATAAAATATGTAATGTTAAAAATTTTTATCAGTATTATGCATTTAAAGAAAATGAAAATTTAAAGGAATTCATAAGGGCATGTTTATCTGTAAAAGGATACCAGCAGTCCATGTAATTTTATTATGCTTTTTATTTTTAAGCTGTTCATAAGTAGATAAAAATTGATCAGTATTCAGTAATGTACACAACACCTATGACCTTTTGCCAACTTTGGAAAATTAGTATTATTGTCTTGTTCTTATCTTGCAGTTAGTGCTACAACTAAATCAATCTTGAGTTTGTTTTTAGCTTCCTGCCTACTTTGGTTTAGAACTAATCTATTACAAGCTGTCTGAGGTTCTTTGTTGGATCTTAAAGTAATCTTATCCCTAATGCTTTCATACAGTAGCTATTTAATCTTCTTCATAGAGTAGGCAGAATAGCCTTACACTTTACTTTTCTAATAAAATGTTTTTTAGTTAAGAATTTTAATTGAGAAGAATTGGGCTATAATTAAAGCACACCTGGAACATATCCATATAATAGTTTAGCTTCTATAAAATTATTCTTGAATTGCTAATTTTTATGTGATGGAAATGAAAATGTACATATTTTAAAGCAGGCTTTTAACAAAAAAATGAGAGAAATTGTTTCCATTTCTTAGAAGTTGGAGAAAGTAAATGGAATTTTATTTTTCAAATTGAAATTATTCTTATTTCTGATAAATGTGAGCAAGTCATTTTTAGGAAAATGAGTAACATATATTTGGCATATTACAAATCTTAAAGTATTGAGCAAAAGCATATATTTAAATTTGTGGGTGTGGTAAATCATGTATTTTACATACTAAATAGAGAAAAATGTGTGCTGTGATATTTATGTACATCATGTCATAAAATTGGTGAAATGTTCAATAAATGTGCAGTTGTCTTAATGTATTAGGATGTTGTTTGTCTATTATAAACAATACAACATTATGGCTGTATATGTTAAAGATTTGTGATTTGTATTTCAACTATTTATCAATTTTGGAAAACTCTAGAAAAATACTTCCAGGGTTTTTTTTTTGTTTGTAGTTTTTATTTTTTTGGAGGAAAGAATAGTTATCACAATATATTTCATACTCTTTGCATGCAATTTTCATAGGAAACATTGAAGACCAGAGGAATTTTCAGAATTTCAGAACATTAACCAGAAAAATTGAGACTAACCAATTAATACACATTTGCTTTTTCAATTCACAGCTTTAAATAGACATGAAATGATCAGTAAAGCTGCGTTAAGTTACATGAAGATCACACAATTTTCCAATATATTTCATACTCTTGGAATATTTAGTAGAGAAGAGAGAGGAGAGAGAGTTAAACAGGAAAAGAGAC